TTATAAGAACACTTAACATGAGATCTACCCTCTTAACAAATGTTTCAGTGCACAATACATTACTAACTAGAGGCACTGTGTTGTACATAGATGTCATTATATTTACTTTTCACGATAACTGTGGGAGGTAGGTATTATCATTCCCATTTTACAGATGTGGATACTGAAGCTTAAAGAGGTTAAATTCCTTGCCCAAAGCCATACAGCTAGTTAATGGAAGAGCTAGGATTCACATTTCAGTTTACCTGACTCTTTCAGCCCAGGCTGTCCCTATTATGTTATAACGTCTCCCCTATTCTGTCTGTCCTGGTACCCCCGTGGCTGAGCTGAGCCATAAGGGAAACGACCTCTAATCTTGGTGCCCTTAAAGTGCTCAGGAGGCAGGACTCAAAGAAAATATCTAAACAAAAATTGAGGGACACAGTGGGCTCAGCTCACACACTGAGGAGGGAATGATACACCACTTGAACTAGATTAGCTTCCTGGGGTCAGTAACCCAGAAGGTGCCAGAATGGGCCCGGTAACAACTACCTTGCTGAGCTTCCAGGAATTCTGGAAGATCTAGAAGCTTTTGCATGTCAAGTGATAAATGAAACCCTACCCTGCTGGAGTGCCCAGTAGGGACTCAGACAGGTGTGTGGGAATGAGAGATGGGAAGAAGGTAGGGTTTCATCAGCAGGTGCTAACACCCAGCCTGGAAACTTACTTTCTGCTTTCTTTTTTTAAAATGGCATCAGTACAGTTTAATAGAATATTGATTTGTTGCAAGGTACAACGCACAGTGACATGCCATTCTTTTGTCTGTGTGAGCTTCATTAGTGTGGAGAGCAACTGTTGAATGTTTGCCCTTGTACCTTTATTTCTTCAAAATTCAATCTCTGATTCAGTTTTTTCATATACCTAGCTGCCAGACTGGGTCAGAGCAGGGTTACATCAGTGAGCAACTGTTAGAAGCCACCATTACACATGAAGAGAGGTCCAAGAGAAAGGCGGTGAAAACCTAGAAATTCCTCTAGGATTCGGATAAAGTAAGTATAACTAGCCAAACTTTGCAATACATTATGAGAGGATTTGGCCTGATTTTTTCCTGTTTTGGCCTGATTTTACCTGGAAACTAACAGAGAAGGTCCCATGTAGGGTAGTGGGAAGGGAGCTGGGTTTGAATACAGGATCTCACTAGCCATATGAATGCAAACAAAGTACTTTACCTCTAGAGGTCTTCATTTTCTCACCTGAGAAATGAGAAAATGATACTTATCACAAGAAGCTGTCGGGGTATCAAATGAGGCAATGGATGTAAAGGCATCTGGCACAATGCCTGGCACACAGTAAATGTTCAAAAATATTTATGAATTGAATTGGTGCTCTACAAATGTTAATCACTCCAGATTTCCATGCTTGGCACTGCACTCACTACTCAGGAACATGAGTTGGGGTCCTCTCAGGCAAGTTTCAGGTGTGTCATTGAATTACAGTGAAAGGACAAAAGCTCATCCTGTGCCCCTCCCGCATTCAGAGGCAACTGGGAGAGTAGCTGAAGGCCTCCTCCTGCTGCGGCAGAGGCAGCAGCAGCAAAGCAAACATCATCAGAGGCAGGTGACCCAGCCTCTACTGTGGGCTTCAGCACGAAGAACCTGGGTGGCCTCTGGGTTGTGGTTTCTCTGCCACAGCTGTCTCTGAGCCTGTGGACTAATGCAGAGCAAAACTGGCACTGTTCATGGAGATTTGTGTGAGAGCCAGGTAGAGGCCCAGCGTGTCCCTTCACTCTCCGCCCCTCCTTTTTGCGTAGTTGTCTCACTCTCCCTAGTACACTGGTTTGGTAGCCGGTTCTACCCACTGTGGCTCTATCCTGAGAAGGAAGAGAGCAGACAAGAAGAGGGGCTAGAGCGCCCCCTGCTGGGGCTGGGTGGGCTGGTAGCTTCTAGCCAGTTCACCTGCCAGCTTGGTGCTGTCCTCCATCTCAGTGCTGAAACTCTTCCCCTCTAACCTGAGGCCATTAGGTATAACCTGGCCTAAGAAAGCTAGGGAGCTGCTGATCAGGCAGAGGCCACAGGGAAGTCCACTGGCAACCGCTGGCCCCTTACCCTTAGCCTCCCTGCTTTGCCAACGTAGAGAAGCAGACATCCCTTTTGCAAACACATCCTACAGTCTGCCTTATAGCCATGTATTTTTCCCTCATAAGGATTGCTGAATGTTAGCAGGGTCCATATTCTGTAATTCAGAGACATTTAATGTCACTTGTTTAGTGTTAAATGTTACTTTTTGTACTGTACACTCCATTGTCTGACATCAGGAATGTTACTCCCATCTCATGTCATTTCTCTCCAGAGTTATAGAATAGGAGGTGATGCCACTGAGCATCCAGCAACCCCCTAGAGCTCCTCCAGATGCTCACTCAGATTCTGATTGCATACCTCTACTGTTGGGGAACTCAGTGTCTCTCAACGGGGCCCATCCAATAGTTGACAACTCTATTCACTAGAAGCTTTTCCTCACATTTGAGCTGAAATTTGTCTTACTGAGACTACCTCCCTGGATTTGGTTCTTACTTTTGGCAACATAGAACAAGTTTGCTTTTTTGGACAAAAAGAATGTCCAAGGTGTTTTCTTCAACTTTTTAGAGATTGTGATCTTGCTTTCCTAACCCCGCTCCCTCTTATTTTTCATCTGAGGGATAAACAGCTCCAGTCTTCTCATCCGTTTCCAATGGGAAATGATTTGCAGACCCCTCACCATCCTGGTCACACTCCAGATAACAGCTATCATTTATTGAGCACCTTTGCTGACATTCCCCATACCTAAGTTCATCAAACCCGCATAACTACTGTAATGAGGTAGACATAATTATCACCGTCTTACAGGAAACTAAGATTCAGAGAGATTAAATAACTTACCCAAGATCACACAGATATTAAGAGACAGAGCCAAGGTTTGAATGCAGAATTAGAACCCAGAGTTGCCTGGCTCCACTAGCATGCCTGAGCTTATAAAGCCTGTGATCTAATTAATCAACACAGTTTTTAAAAAGTGGGTCTGTAACTGAGGATATTCTATTGGTAAAAAGTTGATGAAAATAAATGATATTTTATGTCAATGAAGATTTGCTAAAATGGATATCAGTTTACTCCCAGTAAAATGTAAATTGGAAATGTACTATGCCATTATTTAATATGCAGTATAAATCTATAAAATGATCCACACTAGCACCAAAAAAAAGGGAGGTCTAGGGCTTCCCTGGTGGCACAGTGGTTGAGAGTCCACCTGCCAATGCAGGGGACACGGGTTCGTGCCCCGGTCCGGGAAGATCCCATATGCCGCGGAGCGGCTGGGCCCGTGAGCCATGGCCATTGAGCCTGCGTGTCCGGAGCCTGTGTGTCCGGAGCCTGTGCTCCGCAACGGGAGAGGCAACAACAGTGAGAGGCCCGCGTACTGCACAAAAAAAAAAAAAAAAAAAAAAAAAAAGGTGGGGGAGCCTAAATATGGTCATGTTATGGAAGTGGTCTGACCAGGGAAAAGTAGATCTGGACTATCATCTCTGATTTTATGCGATCTGTCTCTATTTATGCCGTCTCAAGAGATGCTCTCGTTTCTGAAAGCTCTGCCACACTGTTGGCTCGTGCTGAGACGGTTGCATTCAAATAAACTCCCCAGGACTCTGCCGCAGGAACTGCTGGAAAGTCAAACCTTGACTCTTCTTCCTTATCTTCATGACAGAGTCCCTGACAGCAAAGTGAGGGTTACACCAAATTGGGTCAACCGGCTGGTTCTTGAGGGAGTGAGAGACCTAGAAGGAAAGGTGCCAAGAACACCCGGAGGAACAGAGGAGCTGCATAAAGCACTTTATTTGTGTTCTTCTGGGCAACAAGAACCCAGGGGAGAAGCTGTATATACAACACAACATTTGTAGCCGACTAACATATGGTTCTTTGTTTTCATTTCTGAAAAGCAATAAGCAAAGGGAGAATAAGCTTTGCTCTCAATTTTTGCAACAAAGTTTGAAAATCTCCAACCCAAAACAAAAGAATGCGAAACTGAAGCTTTGTGCTAAAGGCCCTACCTCCCTTGAGCCTCCCTTTCTCTCCCTATCGCCTAATCCTTATTTCCGGGAGGTCATTTTCATTAACAGGCTGTCATGGTGACTCAGCCTGCTGCTTCACAGACAGGCAGGGAGCTGATTCCCCTGGACCCATTCATCATGAAAGGCACTTTACTCCATAGAAAAATGCACAATATTGAGCTTGCTCCACCTTGGGAATTGCCCCTGCTGTTGTTTTAGTTTATCATCCCCACCTGCCTCAGAGTGCACCCTTTTGTCTTTTGCATCTCCTGTCCCTGGTGGTCTGCCTCCTCCCCCCTGTTGCAGATTTTCCATGTCCTTGTCTTCAGTGGTCAGGTTTGATCTCAGACACCAAGATCTAGAGATCTTAACCATGATAGACCTTTTGGAATGTGTGTCTATTACTTTTTGTTTTAGGAGCTAAAGTTTCAATGAAACGACCCAGGTCATTGGGACATAGCTCTCAGAGCAGTTTTCTGAAGTTGCATGCTGGGGTTTAGGGGAGTCAGGGAGCATGCAGCTCATAAATTAACCGTATGTCTAAGACCTTCGTGATCTCAAAAATTTTGTCCCATTGCTCCCAACAGTGCATTTGTCTTCGTGTTGTATGTGTTGTTGCTATTGTTCTGGGTCAGCAAATATGGACACTGCATTTCTAAAACCAAAAACAACTGTAGCCTAGTCTAAAAGGTAAACATCTGTAGTAACTGCACAACTTAGAACAGTAAAGGGGCTGGAAAGCACTGACCTGAGAAGGGACGTGTGGGTTTTCTCTTCCTGTGAGGGTCTCTATGTTGTGGAAAATAGCATCTGTACTCATCTGGTTTGAATCTCCTATTTTGTTCCTGAGCCTGAAGCCGAAGGCTCACGATTGATTTTGTTAAAAGGGAAAATCGATGATGAAATTTCTCATGTTTTTCCTTCCCTTTCACTAGCTTATACATTATCTCACAGCCATTATCTTGGAAACTAGAGAAGGGTGATTAATTTCATGCCCCAGCAGAAAATGCATGCCCCTGCCACCACAAGACCTCCCCGGACTCCGCATCCTTAAAAAGAGTTTGAAGGGTCTTTGTGGTTCACTGAGCTCTTCTTGCCCCCTTTGCTGTCGGGGTGGCTGCTGGCTGGGCCCCGCAGGAGTGGGCGCTTGTAGGGGGGGCGTTCTTTCCTGCAAAGGGGGAGATAACAGAAAGAGAGAAGAAAGACAGCACATATACACGCTGTACTGCCATCATTTGTGTGCATGTCTATCTCCCCCCACTGGACTGTGACCTCCTAGGAGCAGTGGCCTTGACTTCCTCTTCTCTGCATCCTGCAGCCCAGGGCCTTGCTCAAAGCAGGCAGCATGACTCAACGAATGACTGTTAGATGAATGGATGGAGATACGTTGTATCATTCTGGTTCTGGAGAAAACCTAACTGTCCTATAGTTACAAGTCTTCCACATTTCCAACTTGATTCTAACTCATTCTATCCATTTCACGACGGGATGGGCATGAACCCATAGATGAATTGCAGCTTGGCAGATCCAGGGAGCTCATTCCCTTCATAACCATCATGGGCTCCAGAGTTCCCTTTATATTTCTCAGTATAGCCTAATTATGGCATTTCATGGTGGGTCTGTCTCCCCTACAATCTTGGGGGCTCTCTGAAGGCAGGGATGTGTCTAGTTCTATCCCAGCACCCAGCACCCAATGCAATACCTTTAACACTACTCTTCAGCAATTATTCACTGTCTCTTCTGCTCACACACTAGGCTATGAGCTTCTGATGGGCAGGGACCCAGTTTATCGAGTTTGCATTTTTCCTCATACGGGGCCTTGTTTGTTTGTTATGTTGTTGAGTAACAAATTGATGTGCCATTCATTCAAGCATTGGATTAAGATTTATTTGCAGCGGAAAGATTAGCCAATCCAGAAAGAACTGAACCGAATTCCCAGGTCAGCTATATATGAGAGGTACGACCTTGAGCAAGTTGTTTAACTTCTCTGAGTTTCATTTACAAAACGAGGATAAAATAATCCAATCTTGGAGGGTGGCGTGAGGTTAAATGAGATAATATGAATAAACTCACCTAGCACCTTCCTTTGCCTACTATAACTTACAAAGGCCTGGTGCAAGGTGCTAGGTGCTAGGTATGGTCCACTGTACTCTGGAGATGACAAAGTTGAGTCAGACATTGATGCTGTCCTCAGGCTGCTTACAGTTTAGTAGAGGAGACAGTTATACAAAATAATTACACAAAATAATAAATAATAAAGAACTACAATGCATAGAAGAAAATGGTAATGCCACAAATATGGGAATCTCTTGGGCTGTTTGATTTAGGATTCAAGATGTGACTTCTTATAACCCATGATGCTCTGACCCTGGAGTATCATTTTCCTTCATTGCCGATGAGTCATGAATAAGGTAAAGACAGAACAGGTGGCAGCACACAAAAGGGACACCTTGCCCTAATGTAGCTCCTCCACCAGGAAGCCTCACTGTCTAAAATTCCACACTCATGAGGGACCTTGCTAATATAGGAAGGCCATCTAGCATGGGTGAGATACATCTAGATCTTAGTACCCATCAACAGCCTGGAACATATGCCGGAATGTTGTTTGCAGGCGACGTGATCTTGACGAAGTCCCTTTTTCCTCTAGCCTCTGTTTCTTCATTTCTAAAATAGTAGGGCCCATGTCCTTCCTGCATCATAGGCTCTGGTAAATGGGGTTGGGGAAGAGTTTTGCCAACTACAGGGTGCCATTCATATGTCACTGAGAGTGCGGGTCTTCACACCCAAAGGAAGCATGGGAAATAAGATGGGTTTGTTTCTTTGCGGGTGAAGCCCAGGTATGATCACAGGTGGGGCAGCCCCTGGCAGATGGTGTGCAGGGGGAGAGGGTGTGCAGTGGCTGGGGAGGAGTGTGAATGTGCAGAGTGACTCTGGGGCCATTACAGAGCCAAAGAGCACCTGCAGCTCAAGATGGGGGCACAGAGAGAGGCACTGGTAGGCAAGCGTCTCACACCTGGGCCCCACAGAGATGCTCCTTTTCCTATCGTGCCCTCCAGACTCACCTCCTTTGGGAAGCTGACTCCTCAGAAAATAAGCCTCTCTCTTCCAGAGGCTTCTGCAGCACTTTGTGCCTAACCTCTTAGTACACCATTTTCTAGGGAGTTCTTTCCCCAGCTATTTTTCTCACGGGACTGTGGGTTGGATGCATTTGATTTTTCTCTACAATTCGTGAGTGGTATGGAGTAGATGCTCGAAGGTTGTTTGATGAGTTGAATGAATTTTTAGTCCCATCTTTATCGTCTCTGTTGCCCTAAACATCCTGGCCTGTCATTGCTTTAGAATGTGTCTTTTCAGGTTCAGCTCCCTGCCTTTTACAACCTTTCCCTCAACCTGGAATGCCCTCTCTCCTCTTTCTGTTTCATCCATTGGAATTCTACATGTCCTTTGAAACCAAATTCAAGCCCCACTTAGTCCATGAAGCCTTCTCGGGATACTCCTGCTGGCTGCCGAATGTTTGCCAGATGGTGTGGGAGAGTAATTTCTGATTGGGTCTCACTTTTCACTATAACACGAAGGGGTGGAAGTAGATGATTCTTAGGGGCTTCTTCAGATCTACCATTTTATAATTCATACATTTAGGGCTTATTTAGGATCTACTCCCAGCTAGGCTCTGCACCTGGCACTAAGGATACAGGAGTGATAAAAATAATTCCTCAAGGAGCAGCCCATCTAGTGGAGGAGCCAGACATTCAAAGATGTCACAGCATGCAAAGATGCTGTGACAATACGCTATGGGACGTACCATGCACACGTGTGTGCAAAATGCAGTTCGGGACCCAGCAGAGAGGAAGGAGCTCTACCTCAGGTGGAGAGCAAAAGGACAAAAACACAGAGGTATGATATCTGGACTGGGCTTTGAAAGATAAATTGGTATTTGTCATCTACAGACAGTAAGGGAGAACATTCCAGAAAGAAGGAAAAGGATGAACATGGAGGTATGACTTGCTGACTGGGGTATAAAGTGATAGAAAGCAGGTGGGGCGCAGAAGGTGCTCACAAGGGAAAGGTGTGTGCTAGGAGGCTGCGTATGAAGTTTTCAATGTAGGCCAGGGCTTTGAACAGCCAGAAGAGGAACTGAAATGGGGAGCCATGGAAGGTGTTTTGAAAGAGGGCACAATCTGATAGGTAACTGAGCACATTTACACATTGCTCAGTATTGTTTGCTACCTTTGCATGTGTACATGCTTTCTCCTCTGTGAATCTGAGCTCCTGATGGGCAAAGGTTATCTATGTTCCCCCAGCATCCAGTGCACGGCCTGCCACATGGTGGGCTCCAGTGTGATGTAGAGCTGATGATTCCCACCCCCATGCCCCGCACACATATCCAAACCCCAGCGTGGAGGCAGCCCACTGGCACTGAGCCTGAGGCCACCTTACACTTAGAGGCCCACCCTCCGTGCTCATGCTCTGTCTCCTCACAGAGGCTTACCTGGCCTGCTCATTTCCCCTGTCTAATTTGTATGCACCTTGATGGGGCATTTTGTGTCACTGTGGTCGAGATAAGCGTGGGGTCTCAGCTCTGGTCATCAACGCCATGTCCCTGAGCCTGTGATGTCTCAGGCCCACATCCTGGCCTCCCCAGGGACCTTCCCCAAAGGGTGGCACAGCACCCAGGGATGCTGACAGGCTCCTACCAGCACGTGGGTGGAAACTGACACAGTATAATTATCCATAGAGATGAGAGTAAACAAAGACTAATTTTGAGTCAAAACATATAATTTTCCTTTAAAGCCAGAACTGCTCTTTCATGTATGTTATTTGATGCTTGGGTGGAAAATAATAAAAAAATGGGGAAGTATTCAAGTCCCACATCAGAGCCTTGTATCCTCCTGAGATTCATTTTTTTCAAGAACTGCTGACCAGTTGAGAGCTAAGTGATATTCATAGTTTGATGAGGTAGAGATGTGGGGATGGAGAGAGTTTTTATTTCGTTTTTCTTAGGCGAAGGGTGGGCGCATTTACCACAAGTCCTCAAGGCTATGAACTTTGAGGAATGAGCTCTCCAGCTCTTCTCTAATGAGGGCTCCAAAGCTCAGGGAAATGAGGTCCCGCGAGCCGGGCCCTGAACTCCCCTGAATGCTTTAGACCCAGTTTCAGGGTCCTGCCTCCCCCATCTCAGAGAACTCTTTACTAACTGATGGTGAGAACACCAGGCTGGGGATGGTGGGGCCTAGCTCTAGCCATGGCTGTGACCAATCCTGTCTGCTCCCTGGGCCTCAACACCTCATCTGCATGATGATGATGGCTACTCTCCCTGGATGTCAGCACCATTTTACTGACAGTGCAACATTCAAGAACAAAGTGGGAAAGGATCGGGATAATTTTATTCAGGCTGACAGAGGACCTGAAAGAGACAATCCCCAAATTAACTTGTAAATGAGTTTCTAACAATTCTTTTGAGTTTTATAGAGCTTTAAATTTTTAAGAATGTAACCAATGACTTCTAAGGATGAATTGAGCACCATTCTCTAGAGGTGAGCTCTTCAACGTCGGGGTCACACCTTAATCATTTACTTGTTCAAGCACCCCCTCTGCCCAGACACTTGGCACAAAGTGTTGTTTTTCCTAAGTGAGCGAATGAAGGGATGTATACATGCATGCATGCTCAGTACAGCCTAGGCACTGTGGGAGCACAGAGAAGAAACACAGATGCTCCTTCTGAAGACTAATCCTCCAGGATGGGGCTGAACAAGCTGAGACAAAGTATGAGTCAGCGTACATTGTGATGCAGACTCCTTGTGGAGCTGGGACTCAAGAGGTGGGACTCCCAGCCTGATGGGACGTGGGTCCTGAGAGATCATCCAGCCCAACCAGAGAAGACCAGGGACTTGCCCCAGGCTGTGATGAGCTGTCTGGAAATCTGGGACTGCACCCCAGAAGCCAGAGGAGATGGAAACATTTATTGAGCACCTACTGGCTGCCAGGCACTACACCATGCTTGTATCTAATTTTTAAAACCATCCTTATTACCCCCACTTTAGGTAGGAGGAGGAAGGTTTCATGAGGCCAGGAAACTTGCCTAACATCTCACAAGCTAGCATGAGCTTGAGACAGAATTTGGACCCACACTGAGGTGGAGCTTAGCTGGACTGCAGTCCAGCTTTAGAATCATAAACGCCTAGGATCAGATTCTGCCTCTGCCAAAATATCTTTGACCTCAGGCAATTCTCGTCACCTTTCTGAGCTTCCTTTTCCTCATTTGTAATATGAGGAATAAATTGTCTAGGAGGACTGAATAAGACCATATACAAAGAGTACTTTGCTCAATAAATAGTAGTGATTAACACTGTGTTTTGTTAATAACAGGTAGGGAGGAAGGTGCATCAGGCAAAAGCCCTGAGACAGCAAAGCGTTTGGGCAAGGTCAGTGGGAAGACTGGTCTGGCAGGAGCAGTACGTTGGATATCTCGTCATGTCCTTCAAGGAAGCTGGACCACTAGGAGAGTAGGAGATGGGGTCAAGAGGTAGGACGGGGCCAGCACATTCCAGATGCCACTGGGTGTCACTGTCCACATGCTCACTGGGCTCACCGCCAGCAGTCATGGGAACACCCAGCACTCTGGGCTCTGGTCCAGCCCTCAGGAAGGACACTCATCTCCTAACCTTGTTTCTTCACCCGCTCAAGAAGTTGGCCCCAGCAGAGGACCTGAGGGGAAACTTCTCAGGGATGTGTCTTCTCAGCCCTGAGCCTTTGCATCTTGACAGAAGGGGACTCTCATGTGCTCGGGGTACATACATGCCTGGCACTGTGCAGGGTGCTCGAACACACATCTCTTAATAATCTTCTGAGTGAGCACCACTGTCCCCACTTTACAGATGAGGAAATTGAAGGATCCGAGATCTTAGGAGCCTAGATGACATGGGAGCTATCAGATGTAGTAGCATATGGAAACACCCAGACTAGCTTTGGCAGCAGTGACTGGACTCAGCCTCCCAGCAGCTCCCATCCCTGTCGGTTCCCATGTTAGACCCAGAAATGTGACCAACCCCTCACTGTCTGACCCCATAATTATACTTCAACTCAGGAAATGTGCTGTTAAGCCCTTCTGCTCCGTACACTCTCTGTGGCAGGGCCGATCATCTTTCCCGTGACACAGATGGGAAACCGAGGGACAGAGAGAGGCTAAGGGAAGCTGCCCCTGAACAAAAGCCAGTTAAGCAGGACGCAAGCCCCTGCTGCTCTGCTCAGCACTTACCGCAGCCTTGGCATGGGGATCGTCACTTTCTCGACCATGGGGTTCAGCCGGTAATAATCCAAAAACGTTCTCGCCACGTTCCGCCCCAGCTTCATATCTGCAAGGGTGGGTGTTAAGGAGCAACTCTGGACTAGTAAGAAAAGTGAGAACAGTCACAAAACAGTATCACCACTCACTATTCTAAGTGTTGTATGTACTGTCTTTTTTGATTTTCACGAAACCTTAAATATTATTGATAGATACTATTATTTTCCTCATTTTCCAGATGAGGAAACTGAGATGTGAAGAAGTCCAATAATTTGCCCAAGGTCACAGAACCGGAAAGGAGAGGAGCCAGGACATGGGTCTAGGTAGTCTTACCCCAAAGCCTGTGTTTAGAGCTTTTAGAACCTACTGCATCCCTTTGGGAATCACTGGGCTTCCATGGTCTGCCTTCAGGTGGCTTGGGGTGGAGCCAGATAAGCAAGACCTGAGGGCAAGAGACCCTTTGTTGCATATAGACCAGGGCCTACTTGACCCCGAGGATTAGTCATCTACTTTGGTAACCTTGGGGACAATGATAAAACCCTCTCACCCTAAATAGTATCCCCGTTCCACCTTGAAATCTACCAATTATGAATCCTTAGGGTAAGCGTTCGTGACCTGTTAAAGTACAAACTCCCTGGGGAGGGGGAAAGGGTCAATTCCATATTGACCATTAACATTTTAGTATAAATTAGCACAGCAATCCAACAACATGGAGCATATGCTCTGTGCATTATCTATCATAACTCTGGGGCTTCACGTGAGCGGTTTCCTCTCCCTGAAGTGCCTTCCCCTTCCCTTTGGCTAATTTTTAACTATCAATTCTCCAGTTAGGTGATGTCTCTTTAGTAAAGCCTCCCACAGTACTCCTCTCCCAGGTCTATGATTGGTGCCCTTGCCCCCTACTTCCGTGGCTTCTGAACTGACTTCATTCAAAGCACTTATCTTTCATCTCATATCTCTCAGCTCTGAACGTCCAAGCCATCACCAACTCTTACCCAAGGGACCTCCTATCTCTTCAGTTTCTCCACTTTTCTCCAGGTCCCTGCTGTTCCCCTAGAAAAGGTCAGCACCATCTTTTCCTTGAATTGCTGTCATCCTGTCCTAATGGCCTTCCTGCCATAAGAGTGCCTGCCTCTACTCCATTTTCTATAACTTTGCTAGTGGGGGTGGGGTGGGAGGGTAGTTATTCTAAAACGCAGATCTGACTACGCCACCCAGCTGAGTAAAACCCTTCAGGGGCTCCCAGTTGCCTTTAAAGTTCAGATTTTGGAACTTGATCTACCGGGTCCTTTGTAGTTAGGTCTCAGCTTTGTGCTTGTTGCCTCCCACCTTCACGCTCCAGTGATACTGAACTTCTCCTACCTCCAGACCTTTGTCCATTCCATTCCATCTTCCCAGACCACTCTCCCCTCTGCCCACGGGCCTTACAGGGCAGACTCCTTCTCAGCTTCCAGACACCTCAGTTTAGTTGCCCCTTCACTGGGTACCACTCAGCCACCATTCTACCCAGGCTCATGGAGGTGGGCTAGCATCTGTGGAACAGTTGAGTGAGTTCTCACCACTCTCTTCAAGACGTCTGTCTCCAGGCTGGGGTTGGATGTGGCCCAGGACATGAACACCAGCATTTATGTAGTGCCTGGCACCACAGTGGCACTTTGCTTACATATGCATTTTAAAACATCCAGGGAGGAAGGCATTTTTATCTCCCTTTTGCTCTGGGAGGTTAAGAAACTTGTCCAAAGCTATATAACTGGAAATGGTAGAGTCAAAACTCCAATTTGGGAGTGTCTGACTCCAGAACCTTGAGCTTTCCACCACTCTGGGCTGTTTCCCAACTTGAAGGCACCTTTTCTGTCAAGGGCTGAGTCATCCCAGGCCAGTGCCTGGTGGGAGAAGGAGAAACGCCAGACGAGTTGTTTAAGACAGTGAGATGTGCCGCAGGCTTGCTGTGCTCTGGGGCTGCCACCTGCTTTCTTCCTCTGGTTGTGACCGACCTTCTCTGTCCCCTCCTTTAAAAAGTTCACAAGCTGGTGTCAGGCATGGGCTCTCAGACCAGCAGACCCTGGAGGCAGTCTCGCCACCAGGACCTGCAGAAGTGGCTAGCTGCTTCAACCTAGCCAGGCTCGAACCAAATCACCACAGTAAGAGCTACAGGGCTTCCCTGGTGGCACAGTGGTTAAGAGTCCACCTGCCAATGCAGGAGACACGGGTTCGAGCCCTGGTCCGGGAAGATCCCACATGCTGTGGAGCAACAAAGCCTGTGCGCTACAACTACTGAGCCTGCGCTCTAGAGTCCATGAGCCACAACTACTGAAGCCCACGTGCCACAACTACTGAAGCCCATGTGCCACAACTACTGATTCCATGCACCTAGAGCCTGTGCTCTGCAACAAGAGAAGCCACCGCAATGAGAAGCCCATGTGCCACAACGAAGAGTAGCCCCCGCTCACTGCAACTAGAGAAAGCCCGCGCGCAGCAACGAAGACCCAGCGCAGCCAAAAATAAACAAACAAACAAACAAAAAAGTAAGAGCAACAGGGGCGCAGAGGAGGGGAGAGGTTCCTGTGGACGGGGCTAAAAGATTGTAGTAGAAGTTTCGGAATCAAATGTACCTAATCCGAATCCGAATCCTAGCTCAGCCACATGCTGTGAGGGGCAGATTGTACTTTCCAAAGATGTCTGCAACAATGTCTCCCATCTCACCTGTTATTCTATGATGTGACCTTGACACTCCCTCCACTGAGAGGTGGCATCTGTATCCCCTCTCTCTGAAGCTGAGTGGGCTTTGTGACTCACTTGCCACCAAAGGAATGGCAGAAGTGACAGTGTGGGACTTCTGAGGAGAAGCCAGAAAAGCAGGTATAACTTGCACCTTGCCTGCTCGAATGTTCCAGCTGGGGCCCTGAACTTCCAGGCAAGCTGTCTGACTGCCCTGGGGTCAGCATGCTGTGAGGAAGCCCAAACTAGCCCATGGAGGGGCTGCAGGGAGAGGCCCTGAGACTTTGTGGAGAGATTACTTTAGAGAGAGATTTCTGGCCAGCCCGCAGCAGCTCCTCCAGCACACTATGGCTCCAGCTCCAGCTCCAGCCACTGTCTCACTGCCACTGCGTCAAAGATGCCAAGCTAAGAGTACTCAGGGGAGCCCTTCCCAAGTTTCTGACCCACAGAAAACAAGAGAGAATAGCTGTGGTTTTAAACACTAAGTTTGGGGGAGATTTGTTACGCAGCAAAGGAGAACTGAAACACAGTGTGGCCTCGCAGAGGCTTTCCCATCTCCCTGAGCCCTCATTTCCTCACCTGTAAAATGTGAATAACAATGCCTGCCTCACAGGATTATGGTGGTGAGGTATGTCACTAACACGTGGGTGCTGACTAAGTAAGTGCATGAATGGGGCCAGAGGGAAGCCTGAACCCTTCCTCCTGACCTGCAGTGAACTCCAGACTCACCCAGACTGGAAGCAAGCCTAGGAGATCTCCTTGGTAGTCAATACACCTGGGCTCTACAAGGTGGAGGAGTTGGGCTGTTGCAGTAAAATGTTCCTCTGTGAGGTACTGATCATTTTAGCAAGCTCTGTTTAAAAGACAGTGTTTTAAAGGCGGGAATTGTCAGGGACAACCCTCTTTCTCTTTCCAATAGTATTACATATTTCCTAAGCCCTGAGAGCCTCACTCCAGATTATTTACTGCACTGGCCCTGCTGGAGTCGAGAAATGAGGCGTGGGTGACAGGAGTGAAGAGACTGACTGAACATTTTCAATTAAAACAAGCTGTCTTTGAACAAAGGTTTAAGATCTAGGCATGGAGAAAGCAATAGCTCTCTTGGCTGGAACCTTTTCCGATATACTGCAGAATTAAGAGAGAAAAAAAATTGGGGTGAAAACTCCCAGCTCTTCATTGCCAACGAAAACCTCAGAACGACCTCTGTAAATTCAAAGTATCCTCCTCAGATTCTTCCGTAGCTCCCGATGGGCTTCTCGCAAAGGGGCAGGAACAGGCAGCAGGTGGGATCAGGACCCTTGAACCAGAGAAGCAGGAGGGTTTGTCTGGGGTTGTCTGAAACTCAGACTAGCTTGGTGACTTCTGCCCAGAGCTGTTTTAAAGTAAACGGTGGGCGTCAATAGCTCCAGCACTTGGTGGGATGCTTTAACAGGCAATGAGGGCTGGGATATTTTCATTCATTCATTCATTTGCTCATTCATTCTAACATTCTGGGGGCTGCTCGCATGTGTGTACTGGCATGAACAAGGGCAGAGATCGAGCTTAAAGAAGAATTAGACAAATTCTGTTTACAGTCTAGAGGAGGAAACTAACATGTCCCAACTAACTACACTAGCAAACAGGCTGTTGCATTCTCACCTTTACAAAAGCAACTACCATTTTTTTTCCCCAGCATACCCTGTGCACTGTAGAGTGTACTTATTTACTGTCGATAACCCCCACCACATCCCTGCAAGGTCAAAGCACAATTGGACACATATTTTACAGGAAACTGAAAAAAGCAGAGTTTGCATAATTGACCCAGAGCCTTGTGCCTCGAAAGTGATAGAGGTGGCATAGGAACCTGTGTCTTTTATTTATTTATTTTAACATCTTTATTGGAGTATAATTGCTTTACAGTGGTGTGTTAGTTTCTGCTTTATAAAAAAGTGAATCAGCTATACATGCACATATATCCCCATATATCCTCCCTCTTGCATCTCCCTCCCACCCTCCCTATCCCACCTCTAGGTGGACACAAAGCACCAAGCTGATCTCCCTGTGCTATGTGGCTGTTTCCCACTAGCTATCTATGTTACATTTGGTAGTGTATATATGTCCATGCCAATCTCTCACTTTGTCCCAGCTTACCCTTTCCCCTCCACATGTCCTCAAGTCCATTCTGTACATCTGCATCTTTATTCCTGTCCTGCCCCTAGGTTCTTCAGAACCAATTTCTTTTTTTTTTTTAGATTCCATATATATGTTAGCATACAGTACATGTTTTTCTCTTTCTGACTTACTTCACTCTGTATGACAGGCTCTAGGTCCATCCACCTCACTAGAAAAAACTCAATTTCATTTCCTTTTATG